ATTGCAAAATGAATACAGGTAATTCTCATTTAGCAACCACAATTGAGTTCAGCAACTTGATCATGAGGTGAAGTGGTCAATAAGTGAAATCATGCCTGTGCTTATTGTCTGATTTCAGCTTGACTTTACAGACCTGCAAAGCTCATAAATGCCAGAATTGTTTATAAAGTTGTTTTTTTATCATTGTTGTAACTGCAAACAGTCACTGTCCAAGGTAGTTACTAAACAAAAACTACTGGTTATGTCTCAAAATAAATGACACCAAATAATATTTCTCTCCTACTCAGCAAAGTGCATCCTATCCACTTTATTTATATTTTATTTAATTATTGCATTCTTATACCACCTTATTTTATAAGTAACTCACCAAAGACAGTAGCCTTCCACAATGTATATTATTAAAAAGGACTCCGGGTGACATGATAGGACTGTTCCAACAAAGAAGTGGGGGTCAACTTATTTTCCAAAGCACCAGAGGGCAGGACAAGAAACAATGGATGGAAACTAACCAAGAAGAAAAGCAGCCTAGAATTAAGGAGAAATTTCCTGGTGGTGAGAACAATTAACCAGTGGAACAGCTTATCTTCAGAAACTGTGGGTGCTCCATCACTGGAGGCTTTCAAGAACAGACTGGACAATCATCTGTCTGAAATGGTATAGGGTCTCCTGCCTGAGCAGGGTGTTGGATTAGAAGACCTCCATGGTACCTTCCAACCAACAGCCTGTTTTATTATTTCCTATTTGGGGGCGGCGTTGGCGTTATTTTATTTGGTTGTATTTTAACTGTGGGCAAGCAACTTAGAGATGTCTGTGTAATATCAACACCTGTATGATTCTATCAGGTGCAAAAAAGAATTAAGACCAAAAGCTCAACATCGAAATCCAATCCTTAAGGAGAAAAAAATACAGGGTTGTGAATTTGCGTCCAATTTTGCTGTCGCTGCACCGGATGCTCATGTTTTAAAGTCTACTTTGTTGGAGAAAATAGAGGAGGAAGGGGCTGGCTGAGTGCTGAATCGTTGCCTGGGGCGTTGTGTCGATGTCAGTGATACCAACTAAGCCTCAAAGTATCTGTTGATTACCAAGTGTGATTAACCAATTAATAGCTTGATTACAGACTAAATATACAGCTCTGGTTAATTGGTGCTGGTAGCCTACTGGTATCTTGCCTTAAGCCCTCTCCCAGGCTCCAAGTTAATAAATTATTGTTCACTTCTAAGGACTTCTATTTTTAAAACCAGCCACTTTTACACATTTACTTGCTGTTTACAAATGTGAACTGAAGCCTCAGAAGCTCCAAAAGGATAAAGAGAAGGATGCCAAATGGAGCTGTCAATTAATTTCTCTTGATGGTGCTACTCTCCTTTTCTTTTTTTAAAAGAAGAGTAATTGAAGGCAAACCTAACTACAGAAATTTAAAATATCAGCTTTGGGATTTTCAACCACTCTGGATTACAGCCATCTTTAAGCTGCCTATCGCTGACACAACAAATCACGAAGATTGTTTTCAGGGGAGGCAACAGCTCCACAATTAATGAGCCTTAATTATGCTCATTCTTGATTATGCAGGATCTAACATTTCTTACCGCACGGGTTAACCTGCTTAACCAAGGAAGACCACCTAGGCCACATTAAGTGCTATGTGAATGCTCACCAACTACAGGCAGCTTGTGTACATTCCATTTTCAGGACTAGAATCCTTGCCTCCATCAAATAGACTGTCATCCATCCAAAATGCATGGAATAATATCTAAATGACCATAAAACAGTTATTTTTGACTGCAGAGACTCAACAGGACGCACCCTGATAAATGTTCTGGTGCTGCCATCTTGTGGCCCCAGTCAAGCATTCCACTTTCAAAACTACAAGACCTCCAAGGGACTTCCAACTCTTGTTATTCTATCCTACAACCAGAGCTGTTTCCAACAACATCTTCAGGGGGACTCAAAAAAGCCAAGATGGCAGTTGTGATCAAATGTGCATAAAAAGAGCAGGGTTTTGGGCCCACCTCCACCACCACCACTCCCATTTCCAGAAATCTGCACACAGGAAAATCAAAGCACTATAGTCTGTGTCAGGAGTGGGCAACTATGGCCTCTATAAAACCTGTGGACTTCAACTCCCAAAATTCCTGAGCCAGCCAGAGTTGAAATCTACAGGTCATAAAAAGACCATAGTTGGCCACTCTGCTATATGTAGAACTTTACACTGAATAGTTGGTTTGGCATCAGGATAAGGCAGTAGCCCATTTGGGAGGATAGAATGGATGTCAGCTGATTCATTCACACACCATTGCAAATTTATTTTATGTTGCATCATGTGCTTGGCTGCTTTGTAGAGGACAAAATATCATATATGTCATCTGAAACAAGAGTTGTTCTGATTCAAGAGTTTCTATGATGCTAACCTACCAGCAATATTAAACTAACACAGTGGTTAAAAGTTTTGCTTGGCTAGTAAACAGGATACTGGTTCAAATCTCATTAGAAAAGTTTTCCTTCCTTTCCCCCCCCCCGCCTCCCTTCCTTTCTTTCTTTCTTTCTTCCCTCCCCCCTCCCTCCCTCTGTCTTCTTTCCTTCCTCTCTCCCTCCCTCCCTTCTCTTTTCCTAGTTATTTGAGGGCTTTTTTCAAGGAGAAAATGCAAAATTCCAGCATTTATTTCTCCAGTCACTTGAATGAAAATAACTATTTTTACAAGTTTCTGATGAATGTCAAAACAGCAACCTCTTCTCTTTGCATTTTAATTTATTACCTATATAAAAATAAATTAGTATATATCAACCAGTGGTGGGATTCAGCCAGTTCGCACCAGTTCAGCAGACCCGGTAGCTAATTTTTTGTTGTCCAGGCCCAGAATGGACTTCCAGAAGTGGCATCCACACAGAGAACCAGTTTCATCTATCTGAATCCCACCACTGATATCAACTTTCTATGGATTTATTTTTATGTTTATTTACGTGTGAGCATTTGCACATATACTATAGGCATATATAAACTTCCTCTTACAGGGAGAAGTAATTGGTTTTCCCAGAGTAGAAAAGTGGATGGCACAGCAGCAACAAGAGGATGCTGAAGATTTGGTCAGGATTGAGTATGCTGCAAATTGTTGCCGAAGTCTACACAGGATTCTCTTAAATATACTTTATATTCAAGCCTGCTTGAGCATAAGAGAAAGAGCATAAATTTTAAATGTGTATATCAGGGGTGTCCAACCTTGGTAACTTTAAGACCTTTGGACTTCAACTCCCAGAATTCCCCAGTCAGCACGATATATGTATATATACATACATAGGCTCCCGATGCTTTTTGCATTAATGGCAAGGTAAGCATAAAATGTAAAATAAAGAAAAAAAAACCTGTGGAGGTTCCAAAATAAGATATATTACTTTTGCAAGCAAAAGCTTGAAATTGCTTGATATTTTTGGTCAAGGGGTACTTCCCAAAAGCGGATTGTTCCCAATTCCAAGATTTGGCTGGATCACCATCACAGTAAAAGGAATCTCTATAGAAATCACATCCCAATAGGATTCAGAAATGCTCAGGTTTTCCTTGAATTACCTTAATTTCATTAATAAAAGAAGAGAGGCCATTTTTGCTGCATCTCTCATCTGCTTTTTGTTATCAGAGCAGTGAGGAGCTTCTGAGCTTTTGACAGCTTTCCTTCGATGGGGAAGGAAGCATCCATCAAGGGCAGTTATGGTTGTCCCCAGGAGCTGTTTTTCAATAGGCATAAACGTAGCATCTGTTAACAGGAGCTAGCAAGCAGGACCTCTGCTCTTTATTTATCAAAAACTGATGGACTAACTAAAATAAAATCATATAATGGGGTCAGTAGGGGGGTTTCTGTAGTCAGAAACCTTCGGCTCATACCACTCCAATAACAGTCACCATAAATTTCAGGAAAGCAAGATGCAGAGGTTGCAAAATTAGGAGGGACAGCTACTACTTTAGAAGACCGAAGTAAAATTTGAAACAATCTGGGCAGGTTAGACAAAAAGAGACCAAAGATAATGTTTACAGAAGCAAATGCAAATCTTTCATTCAGGCAACTGAAATCAAACACAAGAGTATAAGAACAGGAATTCCAAGCTCTGGCAGATCTTTAACTGTAATCAATTATAAGCTGACTATTTGGAAGCAGCATGATAACGGCAAACAATTTTAGCCTGTTAATAATAAAATTACTGCCTGCAAAAGAGTAGTAGGATTCAAAAATTTTGCATTGATGGATTCCAGCTCAGTCCTACCCAGTTCTGTGTAACATGCTTTAAGGATCCAGATAATAAATTGATTCATATACGACAGCAGTCCCCAACCTTTCTGGCAGCAGGAATCGGTTTTGTGGAAGAAAATTTTTCACAGGTGTGTGTGTGTGTGTGTGTGTGTGTGTGTGTGTGTGTGATTTTGCATGCAACCTATATCCCATGCATGCACAAATGAAGCTTCACTTGCTCGCCTGCTTGTGCGGCTTGGTTGCTAACAGGCCACTGATAGGTATCAGTCCGCAGCCCGGAGGTCGATATACCAAGTTGCTTGGGGAAGGAGACACAAAACTGTATAAGGAGACTAAATCCATTTAGCCTTGAGAAGACTGACAAGGAAAGAGATACGACAGCATTTTTCTGAGTGTTGAGAGAAACTTAACAGTTAAGAGCAGTTGGATGGTGCAAGCATCCAAGGCAGGTATCAGAGATGGATTCAAGTGCAGGCTACACAATCTGCAAAAGTCAACAGTTTACTCAGTGCCAGGGCTTCAATGATAGTTCCAATTCCATGAAAAATTAGCCTCCAAAAACTTGGTTTAATGAAGGTTCCATTAGTGATGCTCCTAGTGGCAGAACAAAAGTGGTCTCTCATTTTGAGACATTGCTTATTATTAAGTGACCTACAGCCCAGCACCACTTTCAGAGAATTTCCCATACCTAGACATGTTAGTGGAAACTGCTGAGCAAAGTCCTGTGAGGACACACTTAATTATACACAACATGGAACGCCAGAGAAGAGAGAAGCTATATATGTTTATTTAGCAAATATATACGCCACCCAATCCTTGGTGGCTCATAAAATACATTTCAATGAGGCAGTACTAAAATTCCCAACAATTCCAAAGCTATTAAAAACCAACTTCACCATTATGGCTGTGCACAAAAATGTAGTTTCCTACCAAATTCAAAGGCACGGGGTCTAAGGAATGCCACCAAAATCATATTCCTGCAGCTCGATAGAATCAGAACATGGAACATTTTCTTGGCCCCAGGATTTGGCTCAAACAAAAATCTGGAAGGTTTCTTGGTCAAAGATGGTGGGCTTTCCATCATTCAGCTCTTCTCTGGCCTGTAGACCAGTCTGCTCATTAATCTTCCCCTCCTCTCCTTAGTGACCATCACTGCTTGTGTCCTTGACTTTCTTGCCCCTCTCCCTCCCACCCTAAAACCTTCAGCCTAGCACACACATTTTGGTCCAAAGTTCAAGTTGCAACTTGCATATATAGTTTGCCTATGTGACATTTTGCTGAAAATTTTGATCTACCTGCTCTTCTTTCCTTGACCTGTTCTCCATACTATTGCCTCAATTGACGTTCTCCTTTCTTCTCAACCTAGAGGCATGTCCACTTTGGGTCCAGACTGCCTGTTCTGTGCACAGAACCTTTTGCATAACCTCACCATCAGGAATGGGGAATTCAAAAAAGTCAAGGCTTCTAAATGTAGTGTTGCAGAAAATGGTTAAGAATATCTTAGAGTGCAGAAAGAATAAATCGTTTCCTATTAGATGAAATAAAATCAGACTGCTTCTTCAAAGCACTAATAATCAATAAGACCCATTGAAACAATTGAAGACACCACTCCCAAAATACCCTCCTTTACAGGGGTGGCCACCTTTCCTTCACCAGGCATCTCATGGCTAGCCAACTCAAATCAGCTTTTCAATCAATATTGGATCCATTAATTCAATTCCAAGAGTTTATACCTGTGCTTCTCAATCTTGGCAATTCAATGTGCACAAAAGTATGGCTGGCTGGGGAATTCTGGGATCTGTAGTCTACACATCTTAGAATTGCTAAGGTTGAAAACCCCTGGTTTACATAGACCTTATATTTATTTTATGCTAATATGCTGGTCTACATGGAATTCAACAACTAGACAAAGGAGGGACGAGTGGAAGAGCACTCCCCAATGATAGAATTAGAGAAAGAAATCTATAAGTTCTTTTTCTGAACTAGGACTTTGTATGACCATCAACCTTTCTTTGGCGGATCTCTATCTTGTCTTATGCAGCCCAAAATTATTCTCGAGGTCAGCAAAGACGTATATAAATGACCTTTCTGAAATATTAAAAAGTAATAACTAAAAAGAAGCCAACAGCAGAGCTGAAAGCTTCATCCTAACCCAATTCTTCAGCCTACAACAAAGTTAGTTAGTTTGAGGGCATTGGAACTGTTGGTATCGTGTCTTTCAAATTCCCTTTCTCAAGAGAAGGGATAAAGAGGTCTGCATTCCAATTTAGGCTTCTGAAATTTCTATGTTGCGAAGTTCCACAAATTTGTAGAACTCCATCAGTCTGAATTTTGAACTGAATAATTGGCAGGAATAACTGAGTAATTTGGCTGGAGGCTCACCTTTTTCTGGGCCATTTATTAAGAAGGCCTTTCAAAGGTACTGGATTAGAAGCTAGTAATCAGGGGTCTCCAAATTTGGCAATTTGTGGGCTTCAACTCCCAGAATTCCCCAGCCAGCATGGAGAAGTCTTAAAGTTTCCAAGTTTGCAGACTGAGATTTTTGGAAATTAGGTATGCCTGATTAATTCATTTTTACAGCCAGCTCATGATCATCTTTTAATCTATTCCTACTTCCTTACAGATGCTCCCTGGCTTCCCCCATTCTGATATACTACGGATAAAAACAGTTCTGATGGCTTCCCTCCAGAGAAGGACAACCTCTTGCATCCCATGCCAGCGTGGACAAAGCATTCATTGGTCAGAAATAATACGCAGCATAGCCAGTACAAGCTCCTGGATGGCACAGGACTGGGACGTTTGCTGCAGCTACTACATCATATTAACAGAAGACGTGATCCTCCAGCTCAAGATTCTGCTCTCCACTAAAATGCACTTTTGCCTTCAACCTGTCCTCGGCTAGAGAAGTTCAACGCATGCAGCAAGCACAATGAAACTCTTTCTGGGTGAATAAAAGAATCACAATTTGCCTATGTTTAGATGAACTCCACCTGAGAGCACCCAGAAAGAATGACAAAATGCTTCTCTTTGTTGCCACAGATCTCGGTGTCATCCAGTGAATCTGTAGAACAAAAAGCAATGGTAACAAAAATGGGGGGGGGGACTCAGAAAATATTTTAATTGCCTTGGATTGGACGCTTATTTATGAGGGCTCCTTCATGCTTACAGGGGGGAACTTTATTGACATAATTTCTACTGGGAAACACACCCATAAGACTCAGATTTGGACAGTCTCCCAGCTATGAACCCAATTACAATTATGCAAAACAAGGAAGTCAGAATCTACTTACTCAGGAAACTAACTTCCCCAAACATGAAAAGAAGATAGGACAGAAGGTCAACTATGGGTTCTAGTTATTTTAACCAAAAGGAAATCAAAACAAGGGCATTCTTCTCACAGACAGAAAATGCAATTTTATCTAGATCTGTGGATACCCCGTTAAAATAGAACACTCAAAACAAATAGATAAGATCCATAAATAAGAAGCCAGAGAATAAACACAATGCCACAAAAGATTATATCCTACATGCCATCAAATGATCTGCCAATAAATTTCAGAAGGAAATTTCAAAACAAGGTTTTGATTACAACAGCAACTGTGTAAGAAATAAAATGTAAACGCTAATGCAATTCTAGATTTCAGACAGCAAAAGTTCCTCACCTCCATTGGTTGGGTGCATATGCTCAGCTGGAGGGGTGCTGCTCAGCTGCCACATTGTTTTCACCCTTTTTGGTCCTTGACCGCTGCTGATTTCCACTCTCCATATTTGAGGATGAACACTGTAAAAAAAAAAGAATTGATATTAAAGAGGTGCATGTATTTGGAAATCCTAAGGGTCTCCTGCAGGTAGTCAGATCTCAAGACTGTCTCTGAATATTGTAGCTACAAAGGAAAGCTGAGACTTGAGCCCTAACCAGAGAGAGCGATGCCTTACAGCAATTCTCTGGAATTATAGTTTGGAACTCAAAGACCCTCTCAGTTAGCATGACTTCACTTGCCTGAAAAGACTAACTAGGAATTGTATGAGAATTCATTTTGATATTGTTCTGTTTTGACAGTGAAGGCTAGGAATGAGCAGCATTGTTCTTCAGTGGTTCTCTTCCTTCCCCAAACGCTGCTTCCAGTCAGCTGAGACAGTGAGGTGAGGTCAAGCTGAGACGGTGAGGTCAAGCCGTTGGCCACCCCATTAAGCAGGGCTCAGTCTTTTCCCCATTACTATTTAACACCCAGATGAAATGACTGGGACAGATAATTTGTTAGTGAGGCATCACCAATATACTAATAATATCTCCAAAGTAGACTGACAGAAGACAAGTAGAAATTCTCACTTGCTACCTGGAGACTGTTAGGTTTGAACAGGGAGAAAGACTGGATCCTACCAAGACAAAGTAGCTTGGATCTGGATGCCAGCTTAAATCCAGAAATAGCTGCCAGGCACAAAGAATCCGAACAACTCTGTGAATAGGCCAAAACTGTTTTGTTATTGCTGATTGTCTGTTTATCAGAACCTTGCCAAACTGACTGCATACCCCTGAGAATCTGGAGATAAAGGCTTTCATAGTCTGGCCTCTGTTGTTTCCTCCCCTGGAGCAATTCCATGCTGGAATGTCTTTTTACTCCCTCCCTCTCCCTTAGCAGGTGGTTTCCCCACAATAGTTTATCTGACTCTGAAGAGGGGAGTGCTTTGACAAACGGAATTGGTCACCCCTTGGGGAATCCTGGGATTCAACTTGAATCCTATTTGAACAGCACATGGAAGTTGTAGCCATGAGGGCATGTGAATAACTCAATCTAGTACAGCAACGGCGACCCTTCCTTGACTTTACTCACAATCTTGTCACAGATGGATTACTATAGTATGTTCTAGTGGGACTGTCCTGGAAGACCAACTGGAAACTTCAGCTAGTGCAACAGCCCACGTAATCATGAGCACTTTGTGGTTTGCACATCCACCCATTATAATGGGAGCAGCACTGGCAGCCTGTTAACTTCTGAATGCAATTCAGGTTGCTGGTTGTCACCTGGAGAGCCCTACATGACATTGCAAATGATATAGATGACCTCCAAGGTCCCTTCCAACATTATTATTATTGTATTATTATTATTATTATTATTGTTGTTGTTGTTGTTGTTGTTATCTTTCCTCAAAGCCAAAGTTTTAACTACTGCCCACGTTTGTCTGATGAGCAAGCTTCTATGCCACTGATTATGCTTCTGTGACAATTGATGGATGGCCTTTAACTTGCTGAGGACTTAACTTACTTTTGGTAAAATTCCTTTACCAAACTTGTCCTGACTGGTAGCTGAAATGCCTGCTTTTCATTCAGAGGGTTTTCTTTATAGTAATTGATACAAGACCTACAAAAACAAAAATATTTCCATACCATCAATTCTCAGAAAACAATATTAGAGAACTTATATAGTTACAATGCAAATCAAAACCAATGGCATCTTCAGATTTCTGTTCAATATATACAATCATATTTACATTTAACATAAAGATATTTATATTTCATATTATAAATAGCAATTTATATAGATACTATGGCGAACATGCAAAAGTAGCACAGAAGGGAACACCGTGGAGGCTCGTGATTCTAACAGCCACCAGGAAGGAGAACAAGCTTGGACTGAACTGAATAAAAAGCAAAATACACTAATTATAACCAAGCCAAGAACTTAACCCGCAATGTATCCTTTATGAGCCAAGGAATAAGCAGATCAAAACAAGTGGGCAAAGCTAGGCCAAAAACTAAAATTGATTTCATTTTTCATATTTATATTAAATCAAATGCAATACATACGATCACTTTCCAGTCATATCAAAGGCATTTCTATTCTATATCATATTAAATTTTCACTTTGGTGAGAAATAGGGATACACAAGTCTCAAAATATTTGTTCTGACGATTCAGAAATCTTTTAAGTTTGAAAGGCACATTTTCAGGGATTATTCTGAGCTTTAAACCCTTGCAGAAAATGGATCTCACATTCAGATTTTTTATTTCAAAGTATATTCCCCACTTGATACTTCTTGGAGATGGTCTTTAAGTAGCACATATCAGGAAGAACTCTCTTTTCAAAAATAAATTGTGTTGTGATTTTAGGGACATAATGGGAAGAATAAAGTTGTCAACGCTGTGACAATGGATGTCGCCGCTCTGACAACTGATGGAACTTGCAGCCATTTTTACTTCGCTTTTAATTTGCTTTCTTGCCTTGAAGTTCTTTAATGGATTTCATCTATCGGAACCATGACAAAAGTTTCTTCCCTTGCCTCTTGATTTAATACAAAGATAGAAATTGAAAATGAAGAATGAAATGCCACTCCTAAAGGATCAAAATAATTCAGTAACTATCAATTTATGGATGTTCCCCATACTGTTGTAATATTCCTTTAGCCCAGTGGTTCTCAACCTGTGGGTCGGGACCCCATTTGGGGTCGAATGACCATTTCACGGGGGTCACCAAACCATGCTGTCCGCCATTTTTTCCCTTTTCCTAGCTGTCCTACTCCCTCTTATTGGTGGCCACACCCACTTGGGGGTCACCACAACATGGGGAACTGTATTATGGGGTCACGGCATTAGAAAGGTTGAGAATCACTGCTTTAGCCTTTCTTTTCCCAATGCAGAAAGAAGCGTAGAAGCTGCACTTTTTGCACAACTATGTAAAGCAAAACCACCCCAAACGTCACATTTATTTGAGGAACCCTCTTATTCCTGCTCCTTAAGAGAAAGTTGCTGGCAAGCAATTACTGTGTCAGAAAGATGAGGTTCTCATGTTCTAGTTTAATAAGATCCAAGCAGTTGTCCACAATTTCCAATACGTGATGTAGTTTCTGAATACGATGAACCTGTTCCTGAAGATCTACTGAAGTGGACATGAAGTAATCCTTTGAAAGAGATAACACAGAACAAGCATCAGGAGCTATTGACAGCATCCCTAATCCAGAACCAAACACTGACTTTCCTTAAGCATTGAGTAAATAATGTTATGTCAGCTGCAAAAATCCAGAAAGTATCTCCCCAATGCCCTCCACATCAGACATCTGTCGCTATTCAACTCTCAAGTACAGGTAGTCCATGATTTGTTTAGCGACCGTTCAAGGTTACAATGGAAAAAAGTGACTTATGATTGTTTTTTGCATCATCTCCACAGTCATGTGACCTTGGCAACCAGCAGGTGTTTTTGACACCTGCAGTGTTCCAGAGTCATGTGACTGTTAGTTGCACCCTTCCTAACTAGCTTCCAACAAGCAGTCAATAGGGGAACCTGGATTGGCTTAAAATCATGTGATTCACTTAATGTCTGTGGCAAAAGAGGTCATAAAATCGGATGTGACTCATTTAACAACCACTTTGTTTAGCAATGGAAATTCTGATCCCAGTTGTGGTTGTAACTCGAGGACTATTTATATATTATTTGGGAAGTGGGGAGTATGACTTACCAAGTGAGCGCGCATGGCAAGTTCTTTGCCTGAAACACAAAACATAATTTGTATCACAATTTCATACAAAATAAATATTAAAAGCTGCAAGGAAAGCCTTGATTTATTTATTACAAAATTAGAAAACCAGAAGCTAGAGAGAATGACATTTGCCTCCGTGTTTGCATTATCAGGACCATCTGGAAAAATGAAAGAAAAACTGGACCTAGGAGAAAACTAAAGAGTTTTACCTTCCATAGTTCAGAGGTTGGCAGGTTGAAAGTGGCTGTGAGGAGGGATTCGGCAATTTCAGATCATCGAATTTGTTCAGAAAAAGTCTCTATTTGTTAGTTTGTAAATTAAACCAATAGTTTGATGTCTGATACATAATTTGCTCACCATTTGCCCATCAAAACAGATATTAGCAACTTGTATTAGCTGACAAGATTGCTAATGTTTTTTACATAGAAAAAGATAAATCATTTGGACACAACTACCCAAAATCAGGATGGATGGCCCACAACATACCCACAAAATAGCTGATATAGTCTCTCTTCATTTTATCCAAGCCTATTTCTAGAAGCATTTGCATGGGAGAATCTCCATCAAGAGAAACTGTTTCCATCTTTCCATGGTAAGATTGCTTGATCAATTTGCTCAGTAAGCTGTTACTTTCTTGATGAATCTAAAGAGACAGCATATATTTTACTTAGATACTCCTGTTCTATAAATACAGTATATAGCCTGGAATGTCTCAAAATAACCATTTTAAATAAATCTAATTCCAAAGACTACATAAATTACATATTTTAAATTGTAAAGCTTCCTGCTCCCACCATTCAACCAAAATATAGCTGCCAATAATCATCCCCAGGAATAGCAAAGTTTCATGTTAAACTCACTTTGGAAGAGAATCAGAAAGTGAGACCAGAATATTTGAGAGACTCCCTAAGTGCATGGGCTACAGATTAAATCAGGATAAAAAAATCTGAAATATAAAGACTGAATCGTGGGAGGATGGGGGATTTGAAGATGGAAAGAGGGAAGGAGTGAATTAGTTTGCCCAAGCCTCAAACAGCAAATCCCTTGAAAGAGGGAAGATTATTGTGTGGGGAAATGCAAGTCATCAGATTACAAAACGGGGCTTTAATCACATGGTTGTGGCTGTTATCTTGATTTTTTGAGCTCCTTCCTAGTAGACATCTCTGCTGTAAAGATCAGCAGGAAAAAAGACAAAACGTCTTAGTATCATAAACTAACATTATCTGTAACAATTAAGTACATATATATGGCCAGGTAAGACTATCTGACTGAACTGATACCTCCTGCCAAGCCATAACCGTGGTTTGGGAAATAAATCTGGAATTTCTTAACAGGAATAGACCTAAGCCAAAATTAAAAAAACCACGTGATACTGTTGTGCCATACCAGGCTGCTACTCTGGCAATCAAAGTCTAAGGGATCTGAAGTCTATTAAGTGTTCAATGTAATATTAATGAGAAGACTTGAGGATGGAATTACTCTATGACGTAATCCAGGTCAGAGAGTACCTAATTTATACCACATTCATTTTTTAAATGGGAAATGTCTTCTCTCCCCAGCTCAATGTGGCTCCCTTCTTGTTCTTCTTCTTGTGCCATATCCGTTATCAGACGTTGGCAATCATGTGGGCAATTCTATTTTTATCAGCAGCTGCACGAAAAAGTGCTGCTGAGTTTTGTCCAAACCAGTCCCTTAGATTTTGAAGCCATGATGTTCTTCTTCTGCCTGGACCTCGTTTGCCTTCAAATCTTTTCCTGGAGGATTAAATGGAGTATGCCGTATTTTTCTGGGTGTCGCATCACATGTCCAAAATATTCTAACTTTTGTTTTTTAATTGTTTTGATGATTTCCCTTGGCTTTCTCAGGCGACTTATCACCTCCTCATGTCTGATCTTGTCAACCCAGCTTATACGTAACAGCCACCTGTAAATCCACATTTCAAATGCTCCCTAGTCCTCCCCATTTCTGAAATGGCTAAAGCTGCCCTCAGATCTTTCTGAAGACAACACAGCTTTAGCCACATGTAGGAAATATTTGCCAGAGTGGCTGGGTCTGAAAATGAGAAAGCAAATGCAAGGTGCTGGGCACAAAAGGTGAAGGGTTGGTGTGGTGACCTGGGAGAGAAGGCGGATGGTCATATGAAGCTAAGGCTTTCCGGGCACGGTAGCAGCCGCAGAGCTGGGGGTACAAAGTAGGGTGCAGGGTAGCCAAAAGGGCAGAGATGGGGGCAGATAGGCAGGTTGGGGGAGCTGAAGGGCCTCTGTGGTCATAAGTGCAAGTGGGCTGCCAAGTGCTTAAATACTGATCATGAGAAATGGAGGTGCTGCAATTGCTGTAATCTTGGGCACAGACCATAAGTCCAATTTTTAGTGCTGTCATAATTTCAAAGTCATTTATGAACCAATGGTCCTAAATCAAGGATTACCCGTAACCACATCCAGCTTAGATTTTGACTTGGTTCTGCCTAGTTCTTTGTCCTAATCTTGCCTCTGTTTGGGAGTGCATCCCTTTGCACATGGACACTCTGAAGTACAGGGTGGCTCTACCCTGGCATTCCAGGTTCATTACTCCTACTTACCCATGTCTGCAATGCTCCATGCTGGAGGGCTCTTATTACCAATGAAAAACACTTCACCAGTTCCTCATGCGTAGCCACGTCTTGAGAGGAAAAGTCAAGTATTAAATAAAACAGTAAGCTAAATTAATGTAGATCAGGTGAATTAATAAAATTCCTTCACTGGTTCCCTTAAAGACTGAGCATCTCAAAATGTTTTGAGATACAGAATCTAGAAACATACATACTTCTCCATATATTACACCACAGCAGCTCAAGGAAATCAAGATCTCCACGCTGACTAAAAAGTGTTTTCATGGAACCAATGACTGCAGCAGTGTTATCCTGGAGATTCAGCAAAAGGAAAAGTATTTCAAAATGAAACTGGATTTACTACCATTTTAGTTATTTAAATATCACAGTTCAAAGAAACTTATAACCACATTATTTACATTAATAAGAAAACTAGAAATAGAATTTTAAATGGTTCAAAATAACAAAATGCATTTAAAATAAGCTATTAAAGTGGCAGGAAATATACACACTTTTGCCATCCACCTGCCAACAAAGAGTGATTGACACTCTTAATATAACGTCTGCCAGCATTCCATTTAAGTTTAGAGGCGTTGAGTAACTGAATGGTCACTGCACAAGGCAGTCGCTAAATGACTACTTGTATTAAGCTTGGAAATAGGTTTCCCAAAAGGATGTCTGCTGGTTTTGCCATTCTAGTTGGGGGAAAACTCACTGAAAGCTTCAGTAATGAAACAGTTTGCAGTTTGCATCCAAGGTAAACTATTATGTCAAACTAGAATTCTATGGGAATATTTTTCCCATTCGCTATTTTACCAAATACCTCAGTATCATCGTCATTTTGTGACTTCAGTCCATCTACTTCATCTTTTAAATCTAAAAGAAAAAAAGAAAGCTAGGTACTATGGCCATCAGCTTTAATGCAATAGAACATACTTTGCTCTCATGCAACAATGGCTGGAAGGAACATTTCCTGAACACATCAGTTCGTGATGACATGGCGCACTTGCCTCCATGCTGCGTACTGGCTCACATGTGGGGTTTTCCATATGGGATTAATGTGCTGTGTGAATCCAGCCACTCTAATTTACTCAGCAAACTAAGTGTGCAATGCAAACTCAGCCAAACTCAGTTAAGACTTCAAAGGAATTATTTCCAAAATACTTAGCATTACCTTTCAAAAGTTTCTGTACTAATTCAACAGCAGATTTTCTTCCTGGGGCTTTTGGCCATTTTATTAGCCCATTCTTCAAGATTTCAGCCAAACTCTAACACCATCAAGAAAAAACAAGCAAGTCTAAAGTCATGGCTTGATACAGCAGAGTACAACACACAATGTCATACATGGCTATTTAATACAGGCTGCTGCTTCAGAAGTAGACTGATCCAGTTAAGGGGATTTGCTCTTGACTAGAATATATTACAGATACTTACGTGCACAGATGTACACACACACACACACATAATAAAAATGCTATGAAATTACCAAGACATTTAAGTTTTACACATTAAAAGCGTTCGTTTAAAGCATATTTAATGGTTCTACCTTGATTCCACTTCAAAGAGGGCAGTTGAGTAAAACCTTGCAATCATCCTTGCTATTACTCAGCTAAGCATTATTTTCTGACTGGAAAATAATGTTGCAATACTCACCAAAAGAAACTGCAATTCTCTGTTTGGCTCATATACAGAACTCAAGGGGCTCCCAGAGGCTATCTGAACTGTCTGAAATTTTCAAAAATAAAATGATTCATATATATGGGGTGTAGACCTAGAAAAAACGAATCATTTACTTTTATATATACAAGAGCCATGATGGCACAGTGGTTAGAATGCAATACTGCAGGCTACTTCTGCTGACTGCCAGCAGTTCGATTTTCACCAGCTCAAGGTTGACTCAGCCTTCCTTCCGAGGTCAGTAAAATGGACCCAGATTGTTGGGGGCAATATGCTGACTCTGTAAACTGCCTAGAGAGGGCTGTAAAGGAGTATATAAATCCAAGTGGGCGCTCCATCACTGGAGGTTTTTAAGAAGAGACTGGACATCCACCTGTCTGAGATGATATAGGTTCTCCTGCTCGAGCAGGGGGCTGGACTAAAAGACCTCCAAGGTCCCTTCCAGCTCTATTCTATTCTAAAGCGCTATTGCTATATTCATTATTTCTTGAACTGCCTGTTTTGAGTTTAGAATGTTTTACACTAAAATGTTTTGCACACTTCCTCCTTTATACTGTTCACAATTAAATGGTTGCTAAATTAGCAGCAACATTTCAGCATCTGTTGCTATCACAGTATTGAAACTGTTGATTTCCTTACCAGCAGAGCAGCAGATGAGAGGGGAGGTGTTTGCAGCTTCATTTTCACACCCTCCCAAGCAAAATCTGCATATATATTTCTCTCCAATGGAATAAGGGAATCCTCCTGAGTCAAGGAGTCCAGTGAAGTGGATTCAAGAAATCCGTAACGGGCAAAGCCTGTTACTGTCAGCTAAGACACAAAATCCAGCATATATTAAACTCAAAGTTATTATACTATGTAATAAAACATTATATATTAAACTTAGAAAATTTTCAGTTGAGGTTTGTTTTATTTAAAAAAAAATTAGTATATATTTGGTTGTGAATAAAAATCAAGATAAACATACATCTGAAGCATGATGTCTCATTCTATGACTTTCTTTCAATTCTTCCAAGCCAATAGAATAATTATTATTTGACAGGGGTCCTAGGGGAAAAATGAATTAAATGAGGGCTATATAATTATCAAAAATTGATAAAAAGCTTTCATTTCTAAAATCTTCTAATATTAATTCTATTATTCCTATTAGCAGCTAAAATGTAGATGAAGAATACTGGGGGGGGGGGAGAGAATGAGAAGGACATTGGAGAAACGTGAACGGAGAGATATTGGAGGAACGTTTGTGTGTGAATGGGGAGGATATTGGAAGAATGTTTGTGTGTGAATGGGAAGGATATTGGACAAATGTGTGTGAATGTGGAAGAATGTGTGAGACTGAGGAGGATATCGGTGGAGTGTGTGTGTGTGTGTGTGTGTGTGTGTGTGTGTGTGAATGGGGAGGGTATTGGAGGAATGTTTTTATGTGTGTGTAAATGGGGAGGGTATTGGAGGATTATTTGTGCGTCCTTGTGCAGGACCCGGGACCTTGCTCTCCAGAGATCTGTCAAGACAGAATTTGGACTCAGCTTCCTGCAAATGTCCTCCACCTCCTGCTTTGCCTGGAGGGGGCATTGGACAGGGAAACACCAACGATGTCTGGGATTGGGAAAAGAACATCTCTTTAGCGTGCTACACATACACACAGAGAGAGAGAGAGAGAGAGAGAGAAAAAAAAACATTCCAAGCTTGGAAACTTGTATCCACATCTGAGCTAGTAAATTGCCAATCATGCCTGGACTTGTGGAGAAGGCCCTCTCCTTCCTCTGTGGATAAAAGTCCCCAAACCTGGAATGTGGCGTGTGTGTGTGTGTATGTGCATACGCGCGCATGTGCTTGGCTGCTAGTAGTCTGGGGAGGTGAGGAGTTTGTGGGGCACCAAGTTGTCTCCACATCGAGTTAGCCGGTGCGACTTGTTCCATTCTGACCCAGCTGTCTTGAGTCAGCTGTGAGTGGCATCGAGCAGGCCATGCCCACCTGCTAGGCGACTGGTGGTACTCAAATATTACCATATCTTAAAAGTGGTACAATCTCTGAAAAGGTTGAAAAGCCCTGCTCTAAATAACCAATCCTGGTACATACTGTTTTAGCCCACAACTTCAAAAATGACACTTCGTCTGAATCAATTCGCTAAAACAGATTTCATTTTAGAATTGTATACCCTAGATTCTGATTTTTTAAAGAAACATTAGTGGATTTTTCCATTTCTTCTACTCACTGCCGATGGAACTTCCTACCACAGGCCACTGCAATTCCAAAGTGCTTTTTCAAAAGGCAACTGGACTTTGTTTTTCCTTGAAGATGTTTCACTCTTCATCCCAGAAGCTTCTTCAGTCTCCTTTCTTCTTGTCTTCAAGGGAAAACAAAGCCCAGTCGCCTTTTGAAAAAGCACCTTTTGGACAACCATGACCTGGATGACTAAGAATCTCCACAGACACTTACCATTGCAAGTAACAGTGTGAAGCCTGATTCCCGAAAGGTTATTTCCATTCCTCAAAGATTCTGCTCCAAGCCAAATAGTCTGTTTTGGGTCAGAAGGTTCACATCGTATCCAGAGAGGAGGAAGTTGTGCTGCATGGTTTATTTGTAAATGTTTCATGTTTGGATTTTGAGACATTGTGTAGAAAGAAATCAACTGCCTATCAATGGCGAAAAGACATTATATCAGAAATGGAAGATTACTAATTACAAAGTATTCGCTGCATTTTTTTTAACCTTCACTTTTTTGTATTCCAAAACAGCTTACAGAAAGGTAGTGCTAATTCCCTTAGTACGTGAATGCTTATTATACACACACAAATAAAAGGAATCTTATCATTATCCCTCTTTGAGGAATTATAAGTACAAAATTCTACTCACTTGAATATTAAAAGTTGATACCATTTTATTGAAACTAATATACATTGAATTATAGCTGATCTGATAAGCAGTAAAATTAGCTTTTGCTTTAGGAAGAATATATATTCTAAAGTAGATATGTCAAACACAAGGCCCGCAGGCTGGATCCGGCCCGATATGTGGTTCCGTCCAGCCCGGGGACCTGCTCTGGAAACAGGTCCACTGCACTTCGGCCCAGCCCAGGCCAACCGGGCACTGATGTACAACCTGGTTGCATCCATCAAAGCCAGAATACGCTTAGCCTTAGATCTACGGGGCAGCTTTGCTCTGCTCTTTGGGCGCGCGCGCAAGCGGAGTCCAGCATCCCTGCTGTCTGTCTTGCCCTGCAGGCTGTCTCCACCCAGGACGCCAGCACTGGTTGTCTCCCACCCCAGCCACGCCCCCCCCCCCGGTAGGCAACCACAATGCTGATGTGGCCCTCAATGAAATTGAGTTTGACGCCCCTGTTCTAAAGGATAAAGATTAAAATAATCACACAAGCATTAATACCTTGCTCTTGAAAGGGCCAGAGGAGATGCTGATAAATTCTCTTTTGGGAAAGCCTCAGAAACTGAAGGCTCACCATTCTGCCATTCTTCCAGTCTGCTGGTTTCTTCATACAATCTCTGCAAAAACAAACAAACAAACAAACAAAAACAGCTGTGCTAGAACATTTGCTAAGTTCCAGAATGGTGGAACATATCCAAATAGTAGTAGTAACTTACCATTTTCTCTACAATAAAAAACCCTCCATTTTGGTCCCAAAGCTTTTCTAAGGGATTTGTATGGCCTTCATTGATCAAATGGACTTGCAGGTCAGTCTGGTAAAAGAAACAAGTTGCTTCTATAGTATTTTTCTCAATCTAAATTTAAAAATAATTTGACTTACAGAACCATACATTTATGCACTGAAAGTATGGAAGGCATATGTATAGCAATTTGCATTCATGCACATTCTTTCCTTTGCAGCATAATCTTACTTCAAAGTAGCAGACATCAGAATTTCAGACCTGATTTTCCAGTAACTTTCTATGGTCTGGGATCCCCTTAAGTGATGACACAGGATAAAGACAGTGTGAAGAATGAAGATACTTTTCCACAAAATTATATTAAGAGTTTTAATGTTGATACATGCATAACTTTGCAATCATGCTTTATAGCAGACTCCAGGACTTATGAATAGTCCTTCTCTAACAAAATAAAATGTATTTAAAGAAAACAACCATAAAGCTATATAAAAATAATACAAACCAAACAATAACGAGAAAATAAATCTATATTTCCTTTCATAGAATTTATTCAAATTGTATCAACAGTCCAAATTTGCATTTGAATTATACAACATATCTATCAAAAATGACTTGTCATTTTTATTATTTATTATACTTATATCCTATCTTTCCCTATGGAGTACATATATAACACTATCTCTCCAAATTTATCCTTACAACAAGAAGGAACATTTCTCAGACTTAAAAAATAAAAATAAATTAAACTTTATTCAGCATTATCTATTTTTCCCCTCCTAGAATCTATATCTAATGTTAAACTTTTTTAAAGTTTAGCATTTCTAAATTTTACTATGTTTAACTGCACACTCCATTTCGTGTAAACTAATACTATGTTGAAACAGTTAATAAACATACCTCAAAAGTAGAAGGACCGGTTCTATTATTCTGCTTTCCTTCCTTATATACTCTGAAATATAAATAGCGATTTACTTATTTTTTCTGAATGCTGGAAACAGATCTGAAGAGCAAAATGAAATTAATCCTGGTAGAATTGTCAGAATGTAAACATTGCTAAAGTGCTGTTTGCCATTAGATGTGCCTATATTTTAAAGTCAATCTACCACAGTGGTTCTCAACCTGTGGGTCGGGACCCCATTTGGGTCGAATGACCATTTCACGGGGGTCGCCAAACAAGGCTGTCCGCCATTTTTTTCCCCTTTTCTTTGGCCACGCTCCTGGCACCCGGTGATGTATAAGTGGCTGGGGGTCACCACAACATGAGGAACTGTATTATGGGGTCGCGGCATTAGAAAGATTGAGAACCACTGATCTACCATGAAGCAGTGTAGAACAAAATAAAAAAATGTCATCCACCTCCTTCCTTCTTATTATAAGTACAGAGGAAACACAAGACAACCCTACACCAGTGCCCCCCCCCGCAAGCTTTTGGGTTCCAGGGACCAGTTCCATGGAGAGGTTTTTCCATGGACTGGAAGGGTTGGTTAATGCTGCCTGCACCCCACGGATGGGGCTTTGCTTGTTTGCACGGCCCAGTTTCTGGCATGCTATGGCCTGGTGCAGGTCCATGGACAATTCCTGCCCTACACCATTCTCTTAACTAAATTCCAAAGTATTTGATAACTATAAGCAAAATGGCAACTACATGCACACAGAAAAAGAAAAGAAAGAGCTACCCATAACAGACTCTGAATAGTCCTCATTTAGCAACCATGCTGGGACCAGCAACAAATGAAACCACAACTGTGCTTATGATTTTACTTCAGGTTTCCTTTGCTTTACAGATTTGTTAATGTGAGGATTGGTTGAAAAGTTACTTTTTCATCACAGTTGTAACTGTGGTCACTAAACAAGACAGTCACCATATGAGGACTATCAATAAGCTATACAGGCTCCAGCCAATGTTCCCAATGCATCTTGTAAACTACTATAAGTTCTAATATCGGTCTACAGATAGACAGATATTAGATTTGCCTAATTCTTCCCGTAACACACAACTTTCCACATGTCTGAGGCTTTTGAAATGCATATTGGATGAGACCAGGTGAAGCTGATCCTTTACTGGGCTTCTTAAGGCTGAAAATAGAAGTCTGAACCATAACTTTATTTAGAAAGTCCTGGCAGCATACATACATACATACATATTTCCTTTCTTTCCCTTCTTTCCCTTTCTTTCTTTTTTTTTAATTGAAAATTTTTATTTTTTAACATACAAACATTTATAAAAATACAATAAAATTTTAAAGTAAGAAAAAAAATTCATAAGCAACCATTGTCTATATTACCATCCCTCCCACCCCCAACCCCCCCTCCCTTCACTTCCCAGAGCAGAATACAGGGTTAATAATAACAAAATTTATAATAATAAAAAAAAGGAAAAAGAAAAAAGAAAAGAGAAAAAAATTATCATAATTAACCTTTAACTCCATAACCTATAAAACAATTCTCTATAATATTTAATATTCATTCATAAAATAAATGAAACTTTTTAATTCCATACTTTTTCTGAATATAATCTATCCACCTTCCCCATACAATAATATATCTTTCTTGTGTATGATCCTTTAAATAAGCAGAAATTTTTGCCATTTCTGCAAAACTAGATACTTTAAATATCCATTCTTCTAAAGTAGGCAAGGAATCTTTCTTCCAATATAAACCTACTAATAACCTTGCTGCAGTTAATAAATTCAACATCAAAGTAGTTTCTTTTTCATTTAAGTCAACAAAAATACCAAGTAAAAATAGTTGAGGAGTAAACTTTATCTTTCTTCTAAAAATCTTTTGAATGTTCCACCAAATCATAATCCAAAAAGCCTTTACTTTTTTACAATTCCACCAAATATGAAAGTATGTCGCATCATTATTGCCACATCTCCAACATTTGGGCTGTATATTGGAATACATACAAGATAATTTTTTAGGATCTAAATGCCATCTATAAAACATTTTATAAAAATTTTCTCTCAGATTTTGAGTTTGTGTAAATTTAACATTTCTTGTCCAAATTGTCTCCCATAAATCCAATGAGATCGGTTCCTGTATATTCTGAGCCCATTTAATCACACAATCTTTAACCAATTCTGTTTCCGAGTCTAACTCTAATAAAACATTGTATATTCTTTTTATATGAGCCGGACTTTGATTTTTAATCTGAATAACCAATTGTCTATCTTCTAATGTTATTCCCTCTTTCTTATCTACAGTCCATCTGTCCACTATTTGTAAATATTGAAACCATGACTGTAGAATATTTTCCTGCCTTAATACATCTACATCAAATGCCAATTTGAACCAGAGCAAATTAACAATTCTTTATACGAGAGTTTATCAAAATTTGTCCCCTTAGAAGTTCCCTCAATTGCATGTCTGGGAATCCCCCAGATAGGTATTTTATAATTTAATCTATAATAATACTTTTTCCAAACACGAAGTAAGGCATTCCTCAAAATATGTGATTTAAAAGTCCAATCGACTTTCTTATTAAAAATTAAGTATGCATGCCAACCATATATTAAATCCCAACCTTCCAAAAAAAGAATATCCATATTTGTTAAGTTAAGCCAATCACTTAACCAAGTTAAGGCGGCTGCATCATAATATAATTTCAAATTAGGTGCCTTAAGTCCCCCTCTTTCTCGAGCATCCTGTAATATCTTAAACTTAACCTTTGGTTTCTTCCCGGCCCATATAAAATTATTGATACCCTTTTGCCATTCCTCCAAATTTGCCTCTTTTTTAAGAATAGGTATCATTCTTTCTTTCTTTCTTTCTTTCTTTCTTTCTTTCTTTCTTTCTTATGCCCATCTCCCCTTTAACGTCCCTGGCAGCTCATTCTGTCCAAAGAATAGAGTGTTTGAGTTTTGGCGGGGGGGGGGGAGGGCATTGAGTCAGGGCTAACTCCTGGTGACTGTCTAGATTAGTCCCTAGTTTTCTTAGGAAGTTTTGGAAATGGCTTCCTTCTGCTTTCTTCCTAGGGTTGAGAGAGAGTAACTGGCCCAAGATCACCAGCTAGCTTTGCCCATTACTTTTTCTGAGGTCTTTATAAAACTTCCCAATCTAGCCTACTGCCCTAGGATTTCTTGGGAGTGTCCCATCCAAGTATTAGCCAAGACTAACCCCACTTTTTTTATAAAACAAAGATCAACTCATTTTTCATTCATTTAAACTTTTGGCCTGTGTGTGTATTTTCTTTAATTGGTTACACCTTTTTTTAACAGTTCCAAGATTAGAGGAGGATGACGGCCCACTTACTGCAGGAGGAAGCTGTGGAAGCGGAGAATCTCCTCCTGCTGCTGCCGGGAAGCCATCCGAGCTTCGCCGCCTCAAAGACGGTCAGCCATTCAGGAGCCGCACGCATGCGCAGTCGCTTGTAGCTCGAACTTGCCCGCCAGAATTACTTTCCATCACCAATGGATCTACCCCGAGGAATCCCTCCGCCGAAGAGAGACGCCTGTCGGAACCTTCCTCTCTTCCAAGAAGAAAATCCCGACATCTCCTGAGGCAACTTTAAACGGAGAATGCGGCTGGAAAAGATTTTATTTCTTCACCTTCGCCGGACGAGGCCATCAGAACGGAAAGGGAAGAAGACGTGGGCGAGCTGCCGGCTGAGGGGAGCTTACCCGGCTCAAGGGGCGGGACCGTGCGCGCAAGCGTCAAAAGTCTAGAGCTGCGAGGTACCCTTCCTTTTCTGGTCAGGGCTGAGGCTGGGACGGGCGCTGCGCGAGGGGCTCCTCAGCGGTCTTGAAGGCGCCCATCATGGTGAGGAGAGAAGCGGTCCGGGTGGCGGAAGCCGCGGGAGGCGGCGCGGACGGGGGGAACGCCTCAGCTGACAAGCGGGGGCCGAAGGGGCGCCTACTGGGGAACGCGGGGAGAGAGGGCCAGACAGGAGACCGTCCGGGCAGGCGCCATCTTGGAGTAATGGAGGAGTCGCTGCCGCGTGGAGGCCCGGCTCTCATCTCGCAGGAATCCTCTTCGCCCGCTTTTAGATCGGAGGGGAAAGACGGTTGGTCTCCCATGGAGAGTAGTTAGCGGCTGCTGTATTAACAATAATAGAACTGGAGTCTATGGGTTTCATGAAGGAAGCCAGCAAATCGGAGTGATAACTCTTTTCAGCTGCTCAAGGAGCATTTTCTTAGTGTTAGATGACTCCCCCTCCATCAAATTGTTAAACTCAACGAAATCTCCCTTTGTTAAGTTATATCTCAAATCTAGCCTTCGTTTCAGTTCTTCGTAGTTGCAAGATGAGTGGGTTTGTGGTACCTTATGTGACTGCATAAGTATTGCTATGATCTAAACTATTACTGAGGTTTAATAATGGAGTGCACAGACCCCATTAAAATCTGAATAGTAATAAATAGGAACATTATTCCAGGAAATGATTGTAAATGGCTGAAATTCAAGTAGGGGCATGAATTTGTGAAGCATATCAGCTGCGTGGCTTGCCCAAGAATTGGGGAAGAATGTTTACTTGTGACAGAAATGAGGTTCAATACAGCAGTTCTTCCATTATTATCTTCATTTTTCAACTGTTCAATGTTGGATGACACCCCCCCCCAATCCAAGTGCTGAGCTAAATCAAATTTTCATGCTGAGAGGCAGTATAATTCATATTTAACATTAAAGCCAAAATGCACTCATTTCACTATGTTGTGGTATTCTGAATACAGGCATGCAGAATCCAATGCATTGAACACATGTATTGCTATGATGTTGTAATTTGCGTCCTATCTGGTATTCAGAGACAGTTGCCCGCTGTCCATAAACTGTTGCCATTGAACTGAGGACTCTTCAAAACTGAGCGATAGTTCTATATTATTGAGCATCAGCAGAATAAGTTGAATTGCATGTCTAATGCTCCTTTTCACTCTCCAGGCTTGTACTCGACCATTAGTATCGGTGTACTCCGAAAAGGGAGAGGTATCGGGTAAAAATGTCACCATGCCTGCTGTTTTCAAGGCACCAATCCGCCCAGATATTGTGAATTTTGTTCACACTAATTTGAGGAAGAACAGTAGGCAGCCGTATGCTGTCAGTGAACTTGCAGGTAAGTTGCAGAAGAGTTGTGTTTTGTAAAGTTTGAAAGGCGGACATTCAGTGCTTTTCAATATTAAAATTGATGATACTTACACATCCCAAGCAATGATGATAATACTCGATTTGAAATATGCAGTAATCCACTAAGAAACATAATACTTTCTTCAGATGTTACATTAAAAAAAAATCAAACATCTGGTGGTGTTGATTTAGTTTGGGATTTAAGATCATACAAAGACACTGTTTGAAAATGAGATTCTACAACAGAAAGCATTTTAGTATTCACAGAATGATGAAATTTTACTCCTGGACTGAATTTTCCATATTTCAATACCACTGCAATCATACGTCTTTAGATTATAAACAAAATTGCAAACAATTAAAAATCAGTTATAACCACTTTCAGAAAATCAATAAGCTTTAGAATAGCTCATTATATATTCATTACAAAACAAGAAAATGTTTGCTTCCAGAAGCCTGTTGAAAAAAGTTTGCCTTTACTAGATGTTCTGATGTTGGTGCTTAAATCTTCAGGAAAATTACCTAAAATCTATAATCAGTATGGTTGAATATGTGTATGTGTACACACACACACACACACACACACACACACACATATATTTCTTTTCTTTTCCTCAGGGCACCAGACCAGTGCTGAATCCTGGGGTACTGGAAGGGCAGTTGCTCGTATTCCAAGGGTTCGTGGGGGTGGAACTCATCGATCTGGTCAGGGTGCTTTTGGCAATGTATCCTTTATTAGACAAATTACTTGATATGCGTAGCAACTATGTAATGTAGATGGCTTTTGAACTTCAGTATTATGATTTAAAATATTTGTGTTTTGTTTGATGGGCAATTCACTTAAAGCCGTTGTAGCATAGAAAACCTAACACCAATTGCTTGCCTTGTTTTGGTTACAGGAAGAGAGGCCCTTTACTTGCAATGATGTTGTAATTTGCGCCTTACTCTGTATTCAGTGACAGTTGCCTACTGTCATCATGCTGGTACAGATGATTGATGATCCTTTAACTCTGAGCAAGGTGGAAAGGGGACTTCCTGCAATAAAGAGACAGTTCCATCCTTAACGCCTGATACATAGATGTGTCGTGGTGGTCGCATGTTTGCCCCAACCAAAACTTGGCGACGCTGGCACCGCAGAGTGAACATCACTCAGAAACGCTATGCCATCTGCTCTGCTCTGGCAGCTTCTGCCCTTCCAGCTCTAGTCATGTCTAAAGGCAAGTGTCTTCCTGCAATGGCATTAGTATAAACAGTAACTATAACTGAACTGAGCCTATAAAATAATATCTAGGAAAGGATATCAAATATTTCACTTATTGCATTTGTATAAATATTCTAACCAGAACAAATTCACAACAGATAAAACCATAAAATGTAAAATAATAGTGCAACACAGTAATGATATGCTGCAATTATAAAATCAAAAGGTAATTTAAAAGTAAACACAACAAGCACAGATATAAACTCCAGTATAATAACACTACAAAAATGCTTCAGGAGCCAAATAAACCTTTGGGGAGAAGTTATTCGACAAGGCTGTGAGCACCATAAAAATAGAGCTTACTTTCATGCCTTTATTCCTTTCAACTAGAATAGAGGTGGGAGTGATATAAAGCATGCTCAGCCAGGATGAGCGCATTAAACAGTGAAGTCATTACTTCAACAGTGAGGTCATCATCCTGGAGACAACTAGATTGCTCCATTAAGTCTTTAGATGTACCCAGAAACAATGGAATGCATTCCGTGCAAGTGTGCCCACCACCATCCAGGCCCTCTGTTTTGTGTCACAGTTTCTGAGAAATCTCTGGAGCAGGTTTTGGGCTTTGCTTGCCAACTCTAAACTTTCAATGACACTTGCTATCTTATGTCAGGTCACCGCATTGAAGAGATTCCAGAACTTCCTCTGGTAGTTGAAGACAAAGTTGAAGGCTACAAAAAAACCAAGGAAGCTGTTCTCCTACTTAAGAAGCTGAAAGCTTGGAATGATATCAAAAAGGTGGGTTGGTCATCAATTACAAAGCAGAAGCGTTGCTGAGTGATGGACAGAATGATTGTTTTATTTGTTTTGAATATCTCTGTTGGCCAGTTTATGACTAGAATTCACTAGCTTCAGAGAGCTGTGTGTGTGTGTAATTAACTTGAAGAGAGAAAAAAACTGAGCATACATAATCATCGTTGCCTTTGCATATGATGAATTTTTCACTGGTCCGTGTTTCAGATAAACGTTGACGATGGTGAAATTCTGAATTCCTGGGTACCAAATCTATGTGTCCTATAATAGTGAAGTAGTGAATTTGGATTTTTACATACCTGTTTCTGTCTAGGTCTATGCCTCTCAGCGCATGCGGGCAGGCAAAGGTAAAATGAGGAACCGCCGTCGCATCCAGCGCAAAGGACCTTGCATCATCTATAACGAAGACAACGGCATCATAAAAGCATTCAGGAATATCCCAGGTACTCCTTCAGTTGCCTTCCAGGATTCACAACAGGTTGTAGGCTGGAGGAAAGCCCTGAATGATGATATTCCACTTCATTGGTCCGTGTTTCTGAAAACACATGATTTGGTGGAAGTTCTGACTTAAGAATTAGATGGTGAATTTCCTTTGAGATGCATTTACTTTCTAAATTTCATGAATTGAATTTAAGAAAATGACTTTTTCCTTGTGAGTATGTTTTACATGAAAGGGAAAATTCTCTCTGCTAATAGGAATTACTCTTCTCAATGTGAACAAGCTGAACCTCTTGAGACTTGCTCCTGGTGGCCACGTTGGACGTTTCTGCATTTGGACTGAAAGTGCCTTCCGCAAGTTGGATGACTTATATGGCACTTGGCGCAAGCCTGCCACCCTGAAAAGTAGCTACAAGTAAGTCTGCTTTAGCCTCATTTCTAGCTTTGCAAACTGGAGCATTGAAAGTCCTAACAGATCGCTCAAGGGGCTTTTGAATGGGGATGACTCCAGTCAATGTTCACTTTTGCTGTTCCTTTCACAGTGCTGAAATCAGCATCTTGAAAGGAACTGAACAGTATCCTGTTCCTTAATTGGGAGGACTTTTTTTGCATCTGGGGATCAGAAATGACATTTTAGCTTGTAGATCTATATACCAGCGCATAAACAGATTCTTGCCAGAAGAGCTATATAGCAATAGCACTTAGACTTATATATATACACCACACTGCTTTACAGCGCTCTGAATAGTTTACAAAGTCTTGAAGAGAACAATGCATTAATCATATCTTTATTGTAATCTGTCTTTCAATGCAGTCTGCCAATGCACAAGATGACCAATACTGATCTTGGAAGGATCCTAAAAAGCCAGGAGATCCAGAAAGCCCTACGTCCACCCAAGTATGTATCAAGCATACGCTTTCATTGTCCTCTAGTGGGTAAAAGTATGAATGTATT